TTTCTCTTGCCAACATATACAGAAATAAAGACACTGTAGGAAATGGTGAGCAGATATGAGACTGTCTAGTTAGGGGGTAAGTATTATGCACAAAGGGCAATACTTAAAATGTGTGAATAAACTTCTGAGTTTCTAGATGCATACAACATCTCTCTAAATAATGAGGCCTCAGTCATGGAAACACTCCAGGAATTCCAGTAATTTCAGTTCTGCAACTTGGTATTCCAGAGCCTTCTCTTTGGCTCTATGGTTTGTCTTGCTATTTCAAGAGTCAAAAAATAGTATTAGACTCACTATTTCATAACAGAAAAACATGGCAAAATTTGAATTATGGACTCGTCTATATTTATTAGCACCTTCGCCATTCACTTTCATTCAGCCTGAGAAAAAAAACTGCAGCCCTGTAATTTAGAAATCTGTTGTTAGCTCTCTGAGTATGTACATGTGTGGCTATTTACTGTGGGTTGTAGGGTCAATATAACTTTTCTGGAACAATATAAAATTAGTGTAAAAATTTATTCCTACAGACTTTTTATAATCCATAAGTCTCTTTCAATAAAGACATCAAAATTACTGGATGGAATTGCTTTTAGTGTTAGGCTCTGTAACTGAAGGGAGAGAGACACTCACTCTTTCTGGGTCTGTCTACTGGTACATTTATGCCTCTGGTTGATTTGAAAGCAGAAAATTTCTGATATCTAAAAATTATTTAATCTTAGAAATACCTTACAGTAGAAGGTGGGATCTATTTTCCAGCTGACATATTTAATCCTTGGTATGTTTGTCCTTCTGTTAGAAACAGTAGTCAAAAATTTAATAGGAGATATATTTATTAAAAGTGGAATTATACTAGGTCAGCTACTAAGCCCATAAATATATGTATATAAATTTCATAGATATATTTTATGTATGAGCATGGTAAAGATGCTCACAAAGTTGTCATTATTGGTATATCTTTTTAAATAATAGATATTTAAATATTATAGTCTAGATAGACATTGAAATTTCTAATATGCAAATTATTTTTCCAACATAGGCATATGTATTATCATCTTTCTTCAAAAGTTTAGCAGTTCGGACCACATTAAAACATTTTATTAGTTTTTGTTTTGTTTTGTTTTGTTTTTTCACCATAGGGTGTGTGCACTCATCAGAGACATAGAGAAAAAGTGAGAAATCATGGGAGTAGGGTGGCCCTCCTGGGGATAGGGCCATCCCATAGTCTATTCTGCTCCATTCTCTTCCATTCTCCTCTCAGGATTTTGAACACACATGCACTTGATCTGATTTTTAAGCCACTGGATCCAGGGATCGAACCATAGTTAGTCATGTGGGAATGATGGGAACAGGGATATTGCTGCTACTTTCTCACATGTAGGAGGTTCCACTTGTGTCAATTCAAAGAGGGGATAAGTGCCATGGAATTAATTCTTGGGGTAATTGTATTGGAAAATAAATAGGGGAAGTCCAATGGAAGAACAGATGGGAGAGAGAATACTTATCTTCTAAGCTTCCAGAAGGAAGAATAGAAAGACCTGAACATCCCAACACAGTTGAGTTTTGTGAGCTATAGAATGGAGAGGAGGAGAAGGATCACTAAAAGAGGGGACAGTGGTAAAGATAAGACTGGAAAGAAAAACTACTGCCAATTTATGTACCACCATACAGATCATGGTGAAAAATTAACACTTAATGGAATATTATTTTGTATATTCATTCTTGGCTCCTAAATTTCTTCTACCTTGTATATTGTAGACACCACAGGTTGAAAAAATATTTTCAATACGTTGCTTTTTCTTCAGTGTACAATGATTGGAAAGATCTGTAGTGAGGGGACAAGCAGATGGCATGATGGTTATGTCACTGGACTCTCACATAGTAAACCATGGTTCAAGTTCTAGACCCAGCAGCTTAAACTCACTCTGGGCATATGTGCATGTGTGCCCAAAATCCCAAGAGGAGAATGGAGGAAAGGGATTGCTACATTCCCCCCAAGGGTGATTGCTTACTTTCTGTCTCCCTGTCTCTCTCTGTCTTTCCTGCAAGAGCTTGAACCCTGTAGCAAAAAACTCTCTCTAAAACAAAACAAAACAAAACAAAAATATTCATATAATGATTGGCTTAACATTACATTTTTGATAATGTTGAACTAATCCTTAATGTTGACCTAATTATTTCATTTTCCAGTTTTGTGAAGGATTTAAATTAATGGAATTTGATTTGAAGGGACCAGAGAGAGTCTCTCTTCCCCTAAAATAATCCTAGAAAATATTTTGTATTTTTTTAAAAAGGGTAATGGTATCTATATTTTTAATATAATTGAATACATGATAGAAATAATGAAAGGAGAGCTATAACTAGGGAGAAGTAAATAAAGGGACTAAGAATTCAAAAGCTTTGGCATAAGTATCAGTGTTCTATCTCTCTGGTTACCTCTAAATTCTCTAGTATTGTATTTTTTTAAATGTTGTTTTATGTAGTAGAACTCATTAGAATCAAAATCATCTTTAAAAAGTCCAATTTTAGCCAGGTAGTACTAAAATGAATCAGAGATAGAAATTTTTAGTTTATTTTCATATTATCTTGGTTGCTAGATTTACTTGCAAAGTGAATAACTGAAACTCCTACTAGACTAAAACTGCAAATAAGTATATATTAGTACATGTACATAATGTAAGTGAAAAGGCATAGCTTTATCCCATGGGTGGTACAAGATAAGAAAAACAGTAGAAATGGGGACATATTCCTTGCAAAACAATAGATATTTTATAATAGGTCGATATAGTACTGTCAAATCTTTACTCAGACATTTCTGTTAAAATTATATGGCTTCGATATTGATATTTGATTAATGCTTGATTTGGGAGACTCCTATCTCTTTTGTTTTGGTTACTAATTTCTTTTTTTTTTTTTCCCAGAGATTTTTGCTATAGGCTTGTACACTTTCCAGAGATAGAGAGATAGACAGAGAGATAGAAAGCAAGAAATCACCCCTTCAGGAGATGGTCATGCTGTAGTCCCTTTTTCTTCCAATCCCCTTTTAGGATCTTCATCATGCACACACATGCACCTGGTGTGAGTTTTAAGTAGCCGGGTCTGGGACTCAAAACAAAGTTGACTATGTGGGAGTCCAGCAATGAAATCATTATCCCATCTGCTGGTACCTGGTTCCTATCTTTCTTAATGCTACAATAGTTATTGCTGAGCTATAGTAATAATTAGTACCAATGAGACATTATAGTTGAGATCCAAAGGAGAGAAAATATTTTTAGATCACATAGTTGGGAAGATTATTTAGCACAGCTTGTGAATGCTTTTACATCATTATTTAAAATGAGATTTCCATTGGCATAATAATATATTTTCAATGCTGAATCTCAGAGTATATCTTCTATCCACAGGCGTATGCAGTTTTGAGGGTGCAGATTTTCATTATGGTTGTTGTATAGTTCAAATATTATAAAGGGTTCTGACATGATTGCTTAATTGGAAAGCTAAAAGTATTTAGAGATTTTCAATGAACTGTTATAATTATTAAAGTTGACTAGATTATCTTTTAAAAAGGCAACTTATAATTGATTAAATTTGTTAGAACTTAGCCACCCTAAGACTAATACCATAGACATTCTTGCCCTCGTTGAGGTAAAATAGTGGATATTATGTAAAAAATACAAGTTAAATATCATGTATGTTTTTTAGTGCCTATTTGGGCAAAGCACATAAAACCTACCACTGATTGATTCATTCATTTAACATATATTTACTGCATACATACTCAGTTCTTGGGATATATCAGTAAGGAAAATAGACATAGTACAATACTGCCCTAAAAGCTATATTCCGACCCTATACATTTGGCTAAAATAAAACATGGGATAAGAATATAGTGGGCTCACCAATATTTTTATTAAACAAAAGGGCTTAACACTGATAATTTTCAGTTACTTTCTAATTACAATATATACTACAGATTATGTCAAGGTACTTAATTAGCTTAATGTTGAAGAGGAACTGTGCAAATATTTCTCCTCTATTTCTTGAGTCTTCTCTAAGTTATTTACATTTTGTTATATTTTAATTCCTGAAGCTACCAGACAGTTTGTGAGCATTTATTTAGAAATATGCATTTTTTAAAGTTTAGAAAACTTTCTGGCTATTCTACCCTCTATGATAAATGCTCACATATGAAATTTAAACATATTTTACCCAAACATATACAAAGTTTAGGTCATATCACAAAGTAGACAGTTTAGAGCATATTATATTTGAGAAATATGCTTATTTTTTGTTTTATTTTGACTTTGCTTTTCAAATTTTCCATTTCTTATTTTTTCTTCATTCAAATAGCTTTATTTAATATGTCCAATATTTGTTTTCACTTACTTTTTCCACATTACTGTATGTTCTTTTATTAGTAAAAATTGAGCAGTATATTTGCATCTTCACATATAATTGTTGGGTTTATCTCATTTCAGGGTTAAAGACTATTTAATTCATTGATAGAGATGAAATAACCTAGGTGGCTTTCATATAAATAGCAACAAATGTGCACAATAGTTACATTACATGGTATATTTAACAACACTGCTAAAGAGGAAGATGGAAGCTCATTCTGTCATGATGGAGATATACCTGAATGCATTTAGAGAAAATTTGGTTCTGCAAGCTTGGAGGAAGTAATTGTCATTCAACAGAAAGCAACTAGCTTTGCATATCAGTAACACACACACACACACATAGTCTTATCTATTTTCTGAGTGCTCCGAAACTGTTATCAAAATAGCAAATATATATTTATGAGAACTGGAAATGCTGTTTTCTTTTCAATCACATAAGCTCAATGTAATTATGAAATTAACTTTGAGAGTATATGAAAATATTACTAAGCAAGTGAAGAAAGAATAAAAACCACAAATTTATACCAAGCTATAGAGCTTTTTTATCCACATTTGTACTCCAAAGCTATGTCATTAATTATGTTTAATTGTTTTCATTTCTAGATGGAAGACTGTATTTGAAAACTACTGTCATGTACTGAATCTTTTCTGTCGAAGAAATCCATGTTATGGTAAAGAACTTTGCAGAAAGACATTCGTCATGGGAAAGTTTGGGAAAAATAAAGTCCTTTTAAGGGAACTTCCTCAATTTTGTGTATTAATGTTCGTTGAAAGTTTAAGTATTCTACAAAAAAAAAAAGTTTCCTCCATTGATTTTCACCTGTGGTTCATATCAGAGACCTGAGAATGTTTGTAAATGTACAAGTATCAAACTTCTTACGGTTAATAACTGCAACTTGCTGCTGGACACTTGTATACAGAGTTAAAAGCAGGTCTCAGTAAGACCTAGCTTTGTTTTTGTTTTTGTTTTTTTAATGGAATGAACCATTATCCTCTTCTGAAAATTCTGTATCTGAGCACATCAAGAAAATCTTGTAGCAGTGGTTACCCAGACTTACAGAATTATGTCCTCCAGAAACCAGCAAAAACACTTGAAAATGAACTTGTAGGGGGCGTAGAGGAGTTTGAAAAAAAAAAAAAGTAACATCCTGTTACATTCAACTTTAAACTCTCTAATTGTGGGTTTTCTCCTGAAGATTTTATTTCACATACTTTCCAAAAGACCAACAAATGGATGTTGACAACAACCCAATGAAATAACATTTTGCATATCTGAAGAGAAGCATTGAATATAAGCCAAAAGGTTTAACTGAAGGTCTTTTTTTTTTCTAAAAATTAAAAAAAAAATGTAAATGTAACATGTTTTCATTCCAAACTGGTAGTGGTATATAGAATTTAAAATAATAATGTTGCTTCTTATTCAAACTGTTGGTCACATGTACAGTATATAAACATAAAACACACAAGGAAGGTATTATGTATGCAGTAGTATACTAGAACTTAGGAAAATGAAAATTTTAGAAAATATGTTTTGTCACCCTGTTGGTCAGAAAGATGTCTTTCTGGTTTAAACGCATGCAGGCATGTAAATATTTGTCTGGAGTCACAGTATTAATGAATGAGATCTTAAGCATCTGGTGACATCAGAACTCTGTGTCAGCCACTTTTATTTGTATATTGAACCCTGGTTAGTGCCCCAACTGCACTATTGAGAATGGATTGTGGCTGAACAGTAAATCAAAACACCAGAAATATTTTTATATGTTAATGTCATATTATGTTAATGTTGCTGAAAAACAAAACCTAACAAACCTTTGATGTATCAGTCCAAGACCACGTAGCGCTGAGTGATAAAGTTAAAATGTGTTGTGCTTCCCACCCTGGGCAAAGGGGAGGGTGGCTATGTGTTACTTTCACTGTCTTTTTGAAAGTTACAGTATGTGTTTTCACTTTTGTGCAGATAACTGGAAGTAAAGCTGCAACTGTGCTTATTACACGCTAAAGTTACCTTCTCTTTGTTTTTACATATCTGGAGTTACACCTTTAAAGACTGATCGGAAGCAGTACAGTCATTGTACATCCTATGACTTTTCTGTCTTAAAATTTTATGATCATAACATTATTTATTACCATAAAATAGTAAAATCTTAAATGTCAAAGAAAACTAGCTTAAAATCTTTAAAGATAGTTCTGATTGGGTATTAACTATTTGGTTAAGAAAAAAATAATTAACATTATAGAAACTCTGGCACTAAGCTTCTATATGTTTTAGGTCTTCCTTGCAATACTGGAATATAATTCTTTTGTGTAGCTCACTATTAACCAGTAAGTCCATTTTATAATACAATAAAAAGGTTATATGTACAGTTCCTATTTTAGCTTGCTTTAAAAAAAAGAGCAATATTTTTATTTAAAATATTGTTAGTAAATGCTTTGTAGAAACTTGGTTTTTTAAGCATAGTTTTTTCATAAGCATCTTTTGTTGTTCGAGCACAAGAAATTCTATTCCTAGTTATGTGTATTTTGTTGTCTTTCACTATATGCAGTC